AGTTCCCCTGCATGTCTGTGTAGGGACCCATTCATTCCTCACCGCCCTGCTGCCCTTGCAGAGGTGCTCCCCCACAGGTGGGCATTTCAGAAGGCTGTGCAGTGCCTGGTGTTTACGTGCCTCAGATTCTGCTACTTCTCATTATATACAGAAACCTGTTAAATTATAAAAGAAATCTTGACATCAAGCAGCGTTCATAGGCTGAGTCTTCCTGCAGCGATCTCAGCTCATGTTGGTTGTTGCTTGTAGCGGTAGTCGTGTTCCTGCTTCTTTTGGATGGTGTGATCATGGTTGGTCTTTCTCTGAACTTCTTGGTTGACCACATTTCCTTCTGTTCTTGTGGCGGATTCGCAGACTGGCTGAGGCTGGAGCTGGTCCGGGTGGGACTTCTGGAGATGATCTGGTCCAAGCCCTGTCCACGCAGGGTCACCCAGAGCCGGCTGCCCAGGACTCATGAGTTTTGGGTATCTCCAGGGATGGGATCAGCAGGGTCTTCAACACTTCGAAGTGCTGCTTTTTAATGGTTTGCAAGCGGGTCAATATTATTGTGCAGTGATTCTTGTGCCTGGTGTTTTTTGAACATTTGGGAGTCCTGTGGCTGCTTTATATATATGCATATTAGCATACACATAGTGTGCATGCTCAGTATAGTTACCTGTGTATATGAAATCTATGGGGAGCCCCTCCAATGGGGAAAGACTGAGAGCTATGCACCTTGAAAATTGTGTGTGTGCAGTAGATGGGCAAATGCAGGCTCTCAAAAGTGCCCTGAGTGCTGCTGGCGTTGGGGATGCGGGCGTGTTAACAGTCTGTGCAACAGGAATTCCCATCCATTTGTGCTGGTTGGCAGCACACAGAGATTGGAGAAAGTGTGTTTAGCAGTAGTATGTGTCTGACGGTAGCAGATATGGAGCTAGCAGGTCAGCAGTCAGCTGAAAACATCTCTATTTTCTAGCTTGAGTCAGAGGAGCAGCGCTGAGACACCTGCATGGCACCAGCAGCCCAGCAGTAGCCTTCACCTCTGAAGGCTGTGCTAAGCAGAGTTTGGCTTACTTGCTGTATTTGCACTATTCTTCTTTTTTGTCTTCCCCAGACGATACTAAGGGAAAATCTGCTTTTAAGGTTACCCTGGGCTTTGGGGCATGCATCCCAGCTCCTCCAGCCTCTCAGGCTGTACCGTGCATGAACAGCTCGTCAGAGGAGGTGACAGCCCCATCCCACATCCTCCTCCCCGCTTGTTTTAGAGATGTTCTCACCGCAGCCAGCACCGTCCCCTCCGGAGAGTCCTTGAGGGTTTGTTCTGGTGATCGTGTGCCGAAGGAAAGCTGCAAGAGATCACTTTTCCTTTCTGTGCTCCCTGAGCTAAATATACAGAGCAGCAGCTGATCCCTCCGGTCCCGGTGGGAGTTGGCAGCCGCGCGGTGCACAGCACCGGGTGACATTGCCGCGTTCCCTCTCGGTCACGAGTTAACGAGGTGGGAGGCCAATGACTTCGCCTCTTGCTGCTGCCTTCGGCAGGACGCAGCAGGCAGGAGACCCAAACGGCAGCGGGCTGCCCTGCTGAAACTGCCCGAATTTTCCCATTTTCCATGTTTGTCTGTAAGGCGGGAAGAGCAGCCGAAGCCTTCGTGGTCTAGAAAGCAGGAGAGCAGACAGACACCAGGCTCAAGCTGCGGGTACCTGTCGGTGGCCTCGGTAGCATCCACAATGGATTTGTAAAGAGCCTAGGAAGTTAAAACTTTCACAGATATTTTTCATGCCCTGTCTGATGTCTCCTTATCTAGAGATTACTTTTTGTGTTGTTGTTCTGTTACCCACTTAAAAGAGCTGTAATAAAGAAGGCTGCATGGTAGTCATGCACTGGATGATGCATGCAGGGATGTAAATGTGAAATTATCTTTTACTTTTGTTACATATGTTAGGTACTGGAACATGAGTGATCCTCTTTCTTCTGTTTGATTTCCACTTACTTTGCTTACCTCACATCTCATGAATCCCTCCTGCATACAGGGTAGTCTCAAATCTTGTTAGTCTTTCTTGCACTCTCCCTTAATTTTTTTTTTTTTTTTAATACAGTTTTCTTCACTTTGGTGTTTTCTGTTTCTGCCCTGTCTTCTCCTGAGATGGGAGGGAGGTGGGAACACACCAGAGCACGACAGATGTGTTCCCTGAGTGAACTGTGATATATCTGCAGACCATACTGACAGTATATATATATTTTTTGTTAGTGGCTCAGCCTACAGTGAAGATGCCTCGCCTACTGTAGATGGCATTTGTTTCAGCTTTGATTTGAAGGTGCAGGTCAAATATGATAATAATTTCTTGGATTCTTACTCCATTGACATGAAGTTGGTTCCATTGTGCCACTTAGTTGAATTTTTTGGTGATACGATAATTCAAAGGAAAAGCCTGGAATCCCAAAAGCCTAGGTTATATTAATTTATTATACTCTGTCTATCTGTATTAAGATTAATTTAACATATATACTTACTGAATATTTCCTGGCTCGTCTTACCAGGAAGAGAAATCTACAGATGTACTGCAGAGAATGTCCATACTTAGTTTGATCTGTCAGTTTTGTGCAGCAACTGAAAATACTTAACTAATAATTTTATTATAGATATATTAAAAATATATGTATATTATTATAGTTACAAAAAATTTATATTACATATGCACTAATTTTATAAATATATATAAAATAAAAGCACATATTCTTTTATATATATTCTCTAATATATAATTATATGTATATAGTTATATATATTGTTATTCTCAGTCCCCTAAAGTGCATTTGCTCAGGTATCTACTGGAACGCCAGAAGAGCATAGTGTGTTGATTCTAGATGTTACAGAAGACGAACTTCCACTACTGAGCGTGGTGTGTGAATTATATAAAGTAATCCCTGATAGAATTCGCATTTACACAGAAACTCCTACAAAATAACAGAGGCTGTTATTTGGCAGTGTTGAGTGATTTTGATGACCTACATTTTGATGCAATCAAAAGGTCTTATAGAACCAAAAAAAGTGCCTTTCAGCTGGCAAGCCTCCCCTGCTTCCTGGATAGTCTGAAATTTGAGGATTTGCTGAAACCCAGAAAACCTGATTTTAAGCTTTGCCTCGTCTCTGAGCACGGAGTAGCTTGTGTTGTTTATCTGATCGTGCAGTGTCGGCTTTGTAATGAAAAATGTTAAATGATAACACCTACCTGAAAGCATATGTTTGCAATAATGGAACAAAGTTACAAAAAGCTAAAATAATAATAATAATAATGATAATGATAATAATAAAGTGTTACTGTGATTATACATAACAGTTTATATCCTCCCTTATTTTCTGAGAATCTGAAGTAGGTTTTGTATTTCGTCTTTAATTATTACTGGGTGATTCCAGGACTCCAGGTTAAGATTCCTGTGCTGAAGGCAGTTGCTGTTCTGTCTGTGCCAGCCTGGCTCTCCTCCCTCGCTGAAGACCCCTCTGTAAATACCAAGACTTTGCTGCTTTGCATCGGCTGTCTTGCTTGATTCCTCCTTAGAAAAACCTTTTTTCTGTGTTTCCTGTGGCTGCTCGCTTGTGCCCCATCTCGACTCAGAGCACTGGAATAGCAAGGACCCTGTCATTTGGCTTTTCTTCTCTGTCTTTCCAGCATTATTGGGTTAATGCTTCTGTGACACATCTTATTTACCCTACCTTGCCTGCAGGCATCATCTGTCACAGTCTTGTGGTAAACTTTTGAGCATTTACTGTTTCCCGTAAGAGGAGCTATATCCTCTTATTTTGAGGTTTACAGCCTGTGTTATTCCACAACTATCAGATGATATCCGAGATGGGGAGATTCCTAATGGAGTGCTCAATTTCAGAAATACTGCCTCGTTCCTTCAATAGATGCTCTTGGGGTTCTGGGGTCTCTCCACGGGGAGGGCACAGGTGCCGTAAGAAGATTTTGATTTCTGTGCCAAGAGAGGGAGTAGCAGGAGAGAAGGATTATTGCTGCCGTAGGTATGTTTGTGCCTTGTGGAAACGCTGTGACCTCTTCTTATGCTGATGTGTCAGTAAAGGACTTGGAAAGCAGTTGGTTGGAAAAGAAGAAGTAGAATGGTTTGGTGTCTGGAAAGATTCCTTTTCTTAATGATGAGAGGCTGAAGCTCCTAAGCTGACTTGCTTATTGTCAGCATAGCCCCAGGCAGAAATCTGCTGGCAGAGGGCTACTTGGCAAAAAGGCAGCAGAATAAAATCCTGAAACTGGAAGTAGAGAAAAATGCATTCAGCTAGAAGTAAAGTGCAGGTCTGTAATAGATGGTGTTACGTATTAGAGCAGCTCAACCGCTCTCCTGAGGCACCCCCCGCCACAGCACTGCATCCAACTCAGGGGTCCCCAGCACAAGACAGACATGGACCTGTTGGAGCAGATCTGGAGGAGGCCACAAAAATGATCCGAGGGACGGAATGCCTCTGCTGTGAAGACAGGCTGAGAGCGTTGGGGTTGTTCAGCCTGGAGAAGAGAAGGCTCTGGGGAAACCTTATTCAATATGTAAAGGGGGATGTATGAGAAAGCTTAAAGATTGGACATAAGGAAGGAATTTCTTTTGACAAGGGAGCTGAGGCACTCAAAATGGTTGCCCAGATAAGTTGTGGTTGCCCCATCATTGGCAGTATTCAAGGCCAGGTTGGATGGGACTTCGAGCGAACTGATCTAGTGGAAGTTGTCCCTGCCTTTGGCAGGGGGGTTGGACTAGATGATCTTTGAAGGTGCCTTCCAACCCAAACCGTTCTGTGATTCCATGAACTAGGGAGATGATGTAGTTTTGATCAGAGATGAAAAGACCAGAGGTGCTGCATCTCAGACTTACTAGGTCTTTGCCACAGAAATTATTATGTGACAACTTGTAGATGTAGTAATAAGGAAAACAGGTGAAAGTTTTTGGTTTTTTTTTTAATGCTCCTCATCTCTCTAAAAGATGAATCAAAGAATAATCCCACTGTTTATTCTTCTCCTAGTTCTTGAGGGAGGACTTGAATTATCATGACCCAACAGTCAAGCACAGCACCTTCCATGGAGAAGACAAGCTCATTAGCGTGGAAGATCTCTGGAAGGCCTGGAAGACTTCTGAAGGTAAAAAAGACAAACAAGCAAATTGAAACAGCCTGCTCCACCCCTCTTGCCATAAAGGCGATAAACACTTTGGATTTCATATAACCTTGGCAGCAGTGTGTGTACCTCCTAGGAAAAATATGCTGCTGCTTCTTTTGCTGCTTTGTACAAGTACTCTTCCAGCTTCCTTTGTTGGGGGGGTGGGGGGTGCCTTTCAGGATTTCGTTGGTCTTGGTACTTCCCAACTGTTAGTGCTGGCATCTGAGTATAGCCATAAAAGTATAAAGTGTTGTTTCGTTTCTCTGCCCCTATAAATGTGTATTAAAATAGAGCCAAATACTGTCCTATTCCAGGTTCTCCTTCGAATACCCAGTTTGAAATGGTATTTTTATGGGGTAATAGCATCCTAAATACTCAGTAGAGCTGCGTGGGAGTTTTCCTACAGGTCGTGTTTTCTTTAGAAGAATTTTGCTGAAGCTGAAAAGCTCCTTAATCTAGTGAAAAGAAGGTAGAATAAAGTCCTAAAACTGGAAGTGTACATAAATACGTTTGATGTAGAAATAAGCTGCAAGCTGTTACGAAATGGTATTACTCGTCACAGCAAGTTATCCCAGGGAGGTGGTGGAAGTTCAGTCACTGGTGGGAAACTTGCCTGAAACTTCTGAATCTTGGAAGAAACTTTAAAGTTGGCTAGTGCTTCCCTGGCTGCTGCATGCGGGCTGCCCTGTGCCCTGCACTTGTACAGCGATGGCTGTTTCCAGACATTGGGAGAGTGTCTGAAGTGGTCAGGAAAAGGCACGATTTCACTTCTACTTTTTCCCCGACCAGAATTTTGGAATTTCTTTTTTTGAGAGACCTTAAAACTGATTTTTCTTTCTTTCTAGTTAGGATAACTTTTTATTCTCAAATTTGGGGCTTCATTACAGAATGGTGTTTTATCTTAGGACCAGTAGTACTAATAAGAAAAATCTTTAGTGCCTTGAAAATGAAAATGTGAGGGATGGTATAGAATTAGGAAGACTGCACTTTCACAAAACATAGGTGTAGTGTTGACTGTACGATGCATTTTGATTTACTTATTGCATTGCGAGTGATGTGTTGATGCAGATCACATTGGTATATCGGGTCTTTTTGTGATCCGTGGCATGGACCATTTCTGCTGATGGCTGTCCTTTACTCCTCCTCTTGTGCTTTTCCTTTCCTCAGTACACTAGTTGTCATGTTGCTCTCAAGACCTGGAACATCTTTTTTTCCAATACTTTTAATTGCTGCTCTTCACTTACAGTCTTTTCTCTTCCCTCTATCCTCCAAGATCAGGTAATCTTATCAGCCCCATCACTTGAAAAATTGGGTTTTAGTCTTCTGATCAATTCATCAACTGTAAAGATTTCAATTTCTCATTTATGTCCTGTTCTATTTGTATTTGATTTTTCTGTCTTAGCCTTTAAATTACTTGGGGGTAGGATGTGCTCAGTATTTCCAAAGTGCTGTGTAGTAATGTTATAGTCCCTCACAATCCCAGGAGGACTAAATGAATACTTAGGTACAGCGTTTGAAAAGCAGTTTGAAAACGTGGTGGTTCTGTGCACGATCCTTGAGTTGTTTATCCAGGACCAGACTGTCCGTCCCATGGAGATGGGCAGCCACGTGTTGATAATTCTCGTCCAAACCACTTACAAGTAGGGATGATGCTAATGAGTTGCTTTGTCTCCTGTGTTCAAGGAAAGCCTCGTCTAAGAAATATTTATTCTATTGTATGGCTGTTTACAGATGGCTTTGCCTGAAGTATATTTTAATGTCAGCAGGGAAAGGGTAGAAATCATTAAGGGATGGAGGAGAACATCCCATGATACTCCCTGGGTCCCTTAATTGCTGAGCTGCTTTTGCTCTCTCCCTGCTTCTGACATGCATGGGACCTGCCATGTCTCTGAGTAGAGCTGCTGCGGCATAACAGTTTTCCTTGTGTTGGATTTAGTTACCACTCTTGTTTTCCCTTCTTGTCATTCTGTATATCTAGCTGATAAAATAAATTATTGGTTTCTAAAGGATGGTCTCCTATGGAGCCTAATCTTGGCGTTTGAACTCGAGTCGTAGCATCAGGTTTGCACAAAAGGTCTGCTCCTTCATGTGAGCCTGAAAAGCACCTCTGAAAGGGCACCAAGGTCTAACAGGGATGGGTGCCCGGGGCAGCTATGTCCCTTTCTGATGGGTGCCTGGGACAGCTATGCCCGTTTCATCTGTTTTCAAGCCGAGTGCTTTTCCTATCTGTTGTTGCTGTTGTTCCTGGTCACATGTGTAAACTAAAAAGTTGTTTCTGCCCCCTAATTATCCAAAAATATAAGGGCTGTGATGCTCTTACAAGGTGTTGGATTTGATAGATAAAGCCCTCGGTAAGCACGGCTCTACCAAAGCCACTGAAGTAGCAGATCAGATCATCGTGGCAAGGATGCAGGGCACGGAGCTGCTCACCGTTGCACTGGAGCATGCTGCCTGACGCTGCCAGCTTGTTTCTCAGTTTCTCTTCCCAAAATAAAGAACTCTGGATATGTAAGGCCAAAAAAAAAAGAGAGAAGCCGGGCGCTTCAGAGGAACCTGGGGGCTGGCAGGGCCGGGCTGCGCGGGGGCTGCTGTGCGAGGCCGAGAGGCGGCTGTTGGCGTGGGGGCACGGCTGTTGGCGTGGCGTGGGGATGCGGAGGACAAGCCCTGCATTGCTGGCATCGGGGAGCGGGGGGGGCCCTGCCAGGCCTGGGGGGAGCTGCGGGTGGTGGGAGGCAGTGGTGCCCACCACTCCTCCTGCGCAGGGGCCCTCCAGGGGCCAGCTCACTGCCCCCCCGGCACTTCATGCTGGGCTCTTCAAAATTTACGTGGACTCCTGCCCCGCGGTGGGCACCATTCACCCCTCCTGCCCCCCCCGGCTGGTGGGTGTGTGGTGGTCTATGACGAGGCTGTGGTCCGGCCTCGTGCCCTGCGGCACTGCTGTCCCGCTGTGCCGGGACGCTGGCGGTGCCACCACCCAGGGAGTCAGGCTTCCCCTGCCCACTTCAGCTTTAATTAACATCTTGCTTGTGGCCACAGAAATCAGTTTCCCACGGTTTGTGGGCCAGCGAGCATTAACTGTAGGGAGTCCCCTGAAGCGAGGGCAGTTTGCTGGCTTTGCGTTTGCCAACCTGCATCTGTGAGTCATCGTGCAAGCATACGTGGAGATGACACCTTCTTCGCAAGTCTTGCCCTCCTTTGCTCAGCGCTTGGCACTCGCTCTGCCCGCTCTGTCATCTTTCCGTCGAAGGCGTTCAGCTCACTGGAGTGAGCTGGAAGATGTTTCTCATATTTGCGGGACAACTCATTGTTGACATTTAAGAAGCGGCCGCGCAGCTCTGAACTCAGCAGCGATGCAGCCCTCGGAGCCAGCAGTAAATGGGCCTTTTCTCCACTTGGCTGTTGGAAACGGTGTGTGAGAGAAGGACTGACGGATGTTGGGCCAGAAGCGTGCGAGGTGGTGACTGTCAGCAGTGGGTGATGTCCAGCACAGCACTCTGGGTTGCTGGAGGCTGGGTAAATGCCGCAAGAGCTCAGCACATGCTGAGCAAAGACAGAAGTTGATAAATTAAAGCATAGCGAACCCCACTGCCCTATGAAAAAAATCTGTCGCATGATTTTCTTTGCCTTCATACCATTGCTACAAGTACAACAAAACTAAGTGGCAAAGGCAGAAGCTTCATTTCCAAAGGTTTCCTTACCTGTGGCTTTGGAGCTCTGTGTCAGCTCCAAAAATAATCCACAAATCCGCAGGTGAGGCGGTTAAGGAGGAAAGTTCACCTGGTTCACTTGAGCTGCTGCACCCCCCTCCACCTCCTCCTGCAAATCATTTTCTGAAGCTGTTTACAACCATTTTCTTATAGCATTTCTCCATACTTACTTTTTTTTAATTGATGCTCACATGGTCCATGGATCCAGAGGAGTGGGTGAGGCTTTCAGAGTGTGTTGCCAGATACTTTAGCTGAATTCAGTATTTCAGTGGTTTGGGCATGTGGTGAGGATGAACGTGCTTTGTTGGGAATTTGGAGACAGCAACATCACTTGGATCATAGAAAACTAGGTGATTTCACTTGTCATCTGCCAGCGCTTTGGGTGTTGCCTCTCTGAGGATCTCAGCCTCAGGCCCTTCTGGTGACATTGCAAAAGGCTGCCAGTGAAGCGTCACTTGTGCCAGCACTGTCTGAGGCTGCTCCTTTATCTGATGGCCTCATTGCATGTTTTTCTTTCGTGAGCTGGAACCACACTGTAAAGTCAACCACCATTAAATGTTTGTTGTCAGAGGCTGCTGCTGGAAAAGCACCAGTCCTTATGAACAGTGTGGTGGTGTCTGTTAAGGCTAAACATGTAGCAGCCCATCATGTCTATGCTGAATCTGTAGCAGCCCATTGTGTGTAGAACAGACTAGCAAAAATAATCACACAAGCAATCAGGTAGAGACTGAGGACCTGCGGGATTGCCTGGAGTATCCCAGGGGGATTATTCCTTGTCTAATAGTCCGCAGGATTTAATGTCCCCACTCCAGCTCACTGCATACTTAATAGGAACGTGTTTAAACTCTGCAGATAATTTTCCTTTGCGGAAGTTGATAGGATGAGGTATGTCTGGTGAAGTTATGCTGTTGTTGCTGGCTTGATGATTTTAGTTGCTTAGTAAAAATACTAAGCTGCTTGCTTGTTTTCTACCTCTCCTACAGTGTATAATTGGACAGTTGACGAGGTGGTTCAGTGGCTCATTACCTACGTAGAGCTGCCACAGTACGAAGAGACCTTCAGAAAGTTACAGCTGAGTGGACATGCCATGCCCAGGTCAGTGCTTGCTGCATTGTCTTGTGTTCCTCTGGGATGTGTGCCAGGGAGAAAAACAGATCTGAGGCAGCTCATAACATCATGTGCAATTCCTTGGCATGTACAGAGCCAAGTCTAATTCCTGTTCCGCTTCGGTTAGGTTTAGAGGCTTTGGCTTTGCTGTAGTCCTCTCTGTAGGGAGTCATTTAGCCATAAGTGAGTGTGTATCTGCTGTGGGTGAAAGGAGAGGCTGCAGTCCAAATTGTGTAGTTGTGAATACTGTCCTTGCTGGTTTGTATGCTAGACTTCACCCGCCTATGCATGAAGCTACATATTTAGAGCTAAAACCCTGACCTGGAACAGAGCAGACCTAGGCTACGTCCTGGCTCTTGCCACAGGCTTCCTTCATAACCCCAGCCCAGTCATAGAGCTTCTCTGTCACTGTTCATCATCCTCGGCAAAGGAGTATCTCTGCTTTCTGGGTTGCATCTAAGTAGCATTTAAGTTCCCAGTTCAAGGGCTACTAGTTATGTATATCTGCACCACTCAGCACTGGTATGTATGTGCTGGTAATAATTTGTGCCACTTGATGCTCTGGAAAAGGAGACTTCTAAGCCTTGCGTTCCTCAAGAGAAACACTGGCTGTGAGTTGGCCTAAACTCACAACAGGTTTGAAAAAACTCACTGCAGCTTTTTGGGTAAAGGTTTTTGGTACTGAAAAGGGGCTTGTAAACTGACTGGGAAAGAGAGATGAACTGGGAATAAAATAAGGTTTTCAAGGTAGTGCATGGTGTGCCCACATTTCTTCCAAGTGAGAAGTATGGTCTTACAGTCTGTGAAATAACATATCAAAGGCTAGCAATACAGGTTTGATTAAAAAAACATATTAGTGATTGGCAGGACACCAAAAGATCAGTTTTGATAGGAAATCAGTAATTTAGGTTGTCAGGATTAATGAAATAGGTGTGGCCTTGGTTTGTCCTTCCCTCTCCAAGTAAAGCCAAAGACACTGCTGCTTAACTCTTTCATAGAGATATCCTATATCAGAGAGGACAATATTTGAGGGATTCCTTTTGTCCTGATAGCCTAAGCAGAGAGCTTTCAGGTCCTGCTCATTGCATTTCTCCTCCAGTAGTCTCCATGTTACTAATTTTTTGTCAGTTATTAATCCGGATGGATATGACCACACCTACTTTTTTTTTTTTTAATGAATTTTTCCTTTTTTTTTACAGGCTAGCAGTGAACAACGCTACCATGATGGGAAGTGTTCTGAAAATGACAGATCGAAGCCACAGGCAGAAGCTGCAGCTGAAAGCTCTGGACACAGTGCTTTTTGGGCCTCCTCTCCGTAAGTACCAAAATTCAAAGTCCTTTGGCCGTTCATCAAGAGGGTCTGTGTCTGCTCAGTACTGAACAGCAAAGATAGATCTGCGTGAACCAAACTCTGCCCTACACAGGCTCACCTAGGCAAATCATCCCTGGTACAATTCCCCTGAAACAGGAACAGGCTGCCTTTGGATTTATCGGAGCAGCTCTGTAGCCTAGAGGCATCCTGCCTGTTGGGCTTGCATTTCCATCTCTGCTCGCAGGGCTGCAGACCCATTGTCTTGCTGGGATCTCCCTTGTCTGTAGGGTAAAACCTTCCTGTCCTTCCTGCTCGTTGTGGTGCTGACCGTGTGGTGAGGTTTGCAGCTGCCCCGAAGGGGATCTGTTGGAGGGCAGCCACTCTGCTGCCGGGGACCTGGGGCTCAGTTGGTGACTCAGGCTGCAGATTATCTGCCTCTGGATGAGGGCAATAGCAATAGGCTAGATGAGAAGGCATTTAGGATGGATGAGAATGAGGGACTGGGTTCCTTTGATGCTGATTATAGGCGTCTGTTGGCACTATCTCGAAGCCCTCTGATGCTTATCTTGGCACTGCCCGGGGTGCTCCTTTTGCATGTGTTCCATCTGGCTCATGTCTACTGTCTATTAAAGGTACTTTTGTCTCTCTCCCTCTTACTCATGTCTTTCTCATGAGCTTTAGGTGCTTTTGTGAGGTGAACAGAAATCTTGCTTGATCAGGGCCTGTTTCTGCTTGGCATCATGCAGACAAGATGGATTTTTATGGCGGACTGTGTTGCCAGTACACGATTTCAGCCCTCTTGTGCAGTACTCCTCCTTCCCTTTTAGTCGTCATGTGTCCCCTGTGGACAGGAGGTTTAAAATGAATGCAAGGGGATACTTCCTTACCATAGTGCAAATGCAATAGTCTGGGCACAAATTCTGGCCCAGGAACTCCCCCAGCTTTGATTGCTGACAGCTGGAGGTTTACACCATCAAAAATACCACTTTGTGCTTCCTCTGTTCTTTATGTGTTTTTTTTTAAGTATCTGCTACTGTCCACTGCTGGAATAGCAGGTAGGATGTACCTTCACTCTGCGGGACATGCTAACAATCTAATGGAGAAGTTCAGGTTTTTGGCCTTTTTCCAGCCTTCCCTCTCTGGGCTGCCCAGCACTTGGCCACTGGGAAGTGATAAGGCGCTTGCATTATTTCTTCAATTTTTTTTTTTTAAGTCCAACTATTAGTGCAGTCTTTTCTTGTTTTCAGTCTGTGTCCAAGTTCCTGAGAAAAGGTGAAGTGAGGCAAATCCTGGGAAAACTGGCTGTGCAGACTAAACCAAGTGAAATTTATGAGGCTTGGCAGAGGTATAAGCTAAGTGAATTAGAAGCCTAGGTTATACATTCAGCCATCTTTGCTTCCAATTATTAAAAAGCATATGTTCACTCGGGCACAGTTTGCTTTTTTTATTTATGCTTGGCTCGTGTTACAAGGTGAAGCTTTTCAGTCAGTCAGTGGCGTTGCACAGGGGTGGCAGAGACATCGGATGAGTGCCTGCTGTCGCTGCTCACCCAACAAAGGCTTGAGCCCAGTAACTCCTGTGCTTGGAGGGGGCGGAATTATTCAGGTGGTTCTTGGATGCTCTGTAAATAGCAAAGTAAATTACTTGTAATGGTTTGAGATTAATGGCCATTCTCCGTGTTTGAGGTACTCCATTTTGCCATGCGTCTGTTGCACTGGAACACTGGAACCTCCTCTGGTCAGGCAGATGAAAGCGTGCAGTGAACCGTCCTGATCGGGTTATTTCAGATCAGTAAGGGTTTGTTACAGATTTTGCAATCTGCATACGTATCGGGTATGTGAATAGAGGAAATAAGCTTTAAATTTTTAGCTGAAGTAGAGAGTTTACACTTTTTAAAGGGTAATATTTGCTGGTTAAGTGAATGGATTTGTCTCCAGTTCATACTGCAGTGTATGGTGAGAAGTAGTTTATCTAAAACCGATTCCTTAAGGAATGGATTGTGAAACAGCAGTTTTTAACAGCCATTAGCAATCAACAGTGTTGGGAAGTACTTGGTGACCTTTTAAGCTGCAGGAGCAGCATTTGCACAGCGACAGATTTAGTGGTTTCAGATACGTTCCTGTTATGGTTCTTTTCAGATAGTCAGTGGAGGTGGTCCTCTGTGATCTTTGCTCTTGAGAGAGTGAAGCTGCTGGCAGTGGAATTGGTGCACAGGTGCAGGATTTCTCTCTTGACAAGGGTTTTTCTTCTCTCTTGAAGCTACTTTCTATTCACCACAGGTATAAAAGCATTAAAATAAAACCAGCCTATTGGAGCCCCATGACTGCTTCCTGCAGACTCATAATAAAACCAGAGACATCTCATTGTCAGTGGGGATTAGAGCACACGCACCAAGGTATGGTTCCTCACTGCCGCATGAAGCTGGGTGAAGCTTTTCTCCATCCCGGGGCTAGAGAGCTTGTTCTTTGATGTCTCCTGTAATTTATTGCAGAGGCTTCAGCAAGCATTGGGTAGTTGAGTGGGGCACCTGGCCAGTTTCCTTGCTGATCAGTAGACTCCTGTAATCCCATGAGGTCTGATTTCCTATACCATACTCCAGACGTGCCATTTCCTTCTTCAAACAGGTCAGCACACTTGAAAGGTTGGAGCTCTGTAATTAATCCAAATGCAAAGGAGTATGGTAAAATTATAATCTATGCAAGATGAAGCGATTGCTTCTTCTGTGCCTGTGTCCCTTTGTCCTGGTCCTGTGGTTCAGGAATTTATCTGGTACAAAATACCACAACTTCAGGTGAAGCAGGGGAGGGGAATTTTAAGAAAACAAGCAGTAAAATTAAAAACAATAGCTATTTTTGGTGAAAAGTGCATTTACAATTTTATTCTTTGTAACTCTCAAGTGATGGAGACTGAGACATACGTCTCCTCACAGATGGTTCAAGACACCACTGTGGTACCATTTGGGGTTAAAAGACAGACAAAATGCTGTGCACTGAGTTGTCGATCCCAGCGACTTCTGGTCACCTCTCCAAAGGCCAACAAAGTGGGATCTGTATGTTGCTTTGGGATTTCAGGAGAGGTTCCCGTAGCCCCACTTCCCAGGACAGAAGTCCACCAGATGTAATTTGTTTCATGGCTAGGCACAAGCCACGGTGGTTTGCCAAGCTGCTGCCCAACCAGTACCTGCCCTGGGCTCTGCTGGGGGGAGCTTGCCTGGCACTGGAGCGTGCTGCACCCCTCGGCCTCAGCCCCCTGGGGACCAGCCAGGCACCCTGACACCCATCACCCTGTTTTTGGTGCACCCTGGTGCCTCCTGTACCATACTGAGCTGTCTGCGTGCGTCCTGCAGTGCTGTGGGACAGGGTTTCTGCCGATCCCCCAGCCCTTCTCATTTGCGGTCATCATTAGCTGTCATCCTGAGCGTTACCCTTTCTTTATTGAATATCTGTGCGGGGATTAACAGAAGAGAAAGGACTGGGTGCCTGGAAAAGGAGAGGTTTCCCAGACAGGAGGTGGCACTTGGAGGTTTCTGAACGAACTGACCTTTTTTGCTTTTCATTAAGCATTTATTCCTTGGTGTCCACTCTCCAGGGTGGATGAAGCCACGCTTCCTTCGGTATAGCTGCCAATATAGCTGATTTGTTTCCCTTTATTATAATTAAAAGCATATTTGACAAGTATTTCTAGATCCGTTGAATCATTATTTGTTTAATGCAATAGAATTTCTTAACCAAATACTAGATTAATTTATCGCTGTGACATTGAACATCCACTTTAAGTATTTACGGTTAACTGAATTGTGTTTAGATTACCTGCACCTAAACAGAAAAGCAGCTCTGTCCCATTAATAGACTTCATAGGGTCCGTTAGTGTTGTCATATAGTTTTCTCAGTCCGTGTGCCAGCAGCAACTGGTCAATAAGCTGGGGCTTTAGTTCTGGGTACTCTTTTAAGGAGCAATAGCTCTGAACCTGAGAAGCCACGGAGCAGGGCAATAGAGAAATCTGGCTGGTCTTACGGTGTCCTATTGCTGGTGAAAATCAGCACATTTATAAAAGTTTCTTTCCATAATTATGTTGTGGGTCCACTAACAAACAAAAAAGTGTGTTAAGTACTCAAGAAAGGACTAGGGCTCGATATCGATAGAGAGAAAAATTATAGGTGCCATCAGGGGAATTTATTGAGCTGTTAGCTTCATTTGTTTTTTTTAAAAACAGAGGCATTTTTGTATTTTGTTTTTTGCTGTCATGCTTACAGCAGCTGCCACCAGGTTGACTTTAGAGGGAATGGTGCCTGTCCCACAGTTGTACCCTGAGGTGGTGGCTCTTCCCTGTCTTGTGTCTGAAAATGTCTGCTACTGAACAAGGAAGGAGTCGTCACTGATCCAATTAATTCACATAGGGAAATTAAAAAATTAGTAATTCCAATGTGTGTTTTTTTCTGATACTTCAACTTGAATGTAAATAACCAGTATAGAATTTGCCAAGTGTGTAGATTTTTCTCTAATTATAACAATGCTTTTATAGGTTGCTGTAAAATTGCTGATTTTCTAATAGTCCATCTTGGTTCTATTCCCAAAGTAAGACTTTGTGAAACTTTTTGTTTAAAAATTGAGGCTTTGAATTTGTATCTTTCATGGTGGCACTCTCTTGCTTAGGATACCTGAGGTTACTGTTAGTTTTTACTATTGTACAGCTTTTTGCCTTGCTCCTTTAAAATGTAAAACAAAGGCAGTGCTGCACACCTGATGTGACGTGAATAGTCTTGCAGCCAACGCATAACAACTACTGTCTTTGGTGAAATTGTGTCCGTTCTTCCTTCTTTCCCCAAAAAACAAAAGACAAAACAGGGCATGGAAATCGATTTTCCTTCATGTACGTTGCTTTTTTCTGCAGCTTTTGCAAATGTAACTTACACCCAGGTTTGCCCCGTCACGGTTGCTGGTGCTGGGAGCGAAGGGGTGAAGTGGTGCAGGCACAGCAGAGCAGAAGAGGCCACACGCAAGCA